CTCTTCCTCCCTGGCAGGAGATCGGCCAGAACATCTACACGATCCGAGAGGTGGTGGCCGAGATCCGGGACAAGGAGACCAGGAGGCGGCTGGCGGTGCTCCCCTACCAGCTCCACTTCAAGCACCCTTTCCCTGAATATGTGCGGCTGGGTGAGTGGCTGGGGGTGGGGGGGGAAGGAAGGCCCTCTTCACTCCCCACCCCCCAAATCTCTGGCTCACAACCTGCACCACAACCTCCCCCCCCCCTCTCTTCCTCAGAAGAGCCTAGAATCGGTGATGCACCACCTCCAAGATGGGCTCCGCTGACATACTCAAGTTTGCAGGCCCTGCCTGGTTGGGCTAGCCCAAAAATCAGTAGCAGACTCGTTTTCTGCAACTGGATGCGTGGAACAGATTTCTGCAGTTTTCAGGGGCCCAAACGGGGCTTCTGGTCTGTCTGTGAGCACAATTCAAAGCCCTGCTTTTGCCTTGTGAATTTCTTGGAACCAAGGTACTTTGAAGCCAGCCTTTCTCACAGGAATGTGCCTGACCGTTAGGATCACAGTCCGAGGCTTCCCGACTGTGGGCTGCTCTTCCCTTAGTAATGACTGCCCTTGACATTTAGCCTTGTTTTGGTTTCATGCTACCATGAATGGGCCTGCTCCAATATGTGTTGCTTACGTTGTTTAAAAATGTTCTGACTTCTCATTTTACATGTTTAATTCCTTTGGGGAGTTTTCCTGCTTGCATCTCACGTCAAGACCAATGGCTAAGGAACAGGATGTAAATCTCTTTAACGCAAGCAGTTCATATAATTCATTCAGTGGTGGAATGCCCTTTCTTTTTTCTTTGTTTCAGTGACAGAGTTTTCCAAGAAGACCGGTGACTATCCCAGCCTGTCAGCCACTGACATCCAAGTTTTAGCCTTGACTTACCAGCTGGAAGCTGAGAACGTTGGCGTGGCCCACTTGAAGAAAGAGCCTGAGCAGAAGGTGGCCGCGGTTCTTCCATTTCATTTCTCTGTGGGATTTTTCCAGGAGGCAGAGCGCTCACAATGGCATTATACCACTTTTCAAACCACCGCTGTTCCTCCTCTCTGTTGTGTTTTGGAATTCAGATCTAACGACAAAGTGTCATTGTGTTTTTCTCTCCAGACAGCTCAGTGCGACATCTCAGTGCTGTTTCCATTCTTGCTGGTGGCCTCCTTGTGGGGGCAACTGGTTTGCCATCCGAAGGAACAGAATGCTGGAGTAAAGAGGCTGCCTTTGGCCTGATCTGGCTTCAGGGTGTTGCTCTTGCTCTTAGGTCATCACCTTGACACATCTCCCTTTTTTCCCTCCCCACCCTGGACTCTTGCAGGTAACACTAAGCTCCACAAATCAGCATCCAGAGGCCCCCATTAATGTTGCTGGCTTCCATCTCCCTTCAAAGGTAACGTCCGATCTTAAGTACCCCATTTCTCATAGAAGGGAGGAGGAACAGGGAGGTTTGGTGGATAGAGGGTGGAAGAGCAGGAAGATCACCCGGCCTGCATGGTAGATGATGATGCCTTGGTTGGTCTCTGGAAGAATGTGTTGGTTCTCACAGGGCCATAGGGAGTATGAGAAGGGACTAGGCTTAGGATCTAGCCTGAGCAGCAATGAGAATCAGTGGCAAGTGGCATCTTCTCCCAGCTTCTTGCCATGATCAACAGATCATCAGGTCCCTTCCAGCGGTTGGTCACCTTCCAGAAAGGTCCTGGAGGAAGGCTGTAGCAAGAGACTTACACCCTCTCCTGTACTTGATATGCCAGTATGAGTGACAAAGATCTTACTTGCTGGACAGTCACTTTCTGCCATCTCCCAGCAGTTGATGGATGTAGCCTTTGTTTTGTATCTTCAGTCACAGGCTAGGCATCCGGGCTCTGGAAAGCTCCCTTCCACCGTGGAACACCCAGATTGCGCAGCCCCTCCGGCAGGGCCCGAAACCTCGGAGTTCAACTCATTTCTGTTCTGGAGGAACCCTCTGCCCAACATCGAGGAAGACCTCCAGGCCCTGCTGGTGAGAGACCCGGAGGGCTTCTCCCTGCTTTTTCTCGCAGGGCTGGCGCTGTGCTCCATGGCTCCTGTCCCAACTGGTTGGTCTTCTTTCCCAGAACGCTGACGCTGTTATCAAAGAAGAAGAAGAAGAAGACCTCAAAGGCCAGGAGAGCGACGAGGAGGGGAGCAAAGAGGAGAGCGATGAGGAGGGAGGCTGGATCACGCCCAGCAACATCAAGCAGATCCAGCAGGACTTCGGCCAGGCGGATGAGCCGACTGGCGTGAAGGTCGGCTGCGTGACCACTGACTTCGCCATGCAGGCAAGTGCGGGAGGCTTCAGAGTTCTCTCCTGGGGCCACCCAGACTGGCCGTTGGGGGAGATCTGTCGCCAGGCTTCTCTGATCTCCCTCAGAGAAGAGGTTGTCCTGTCTCAAGCCAAGCCACAGGCGTGGAGTAGAGACCATTTCGAAGCCTAGTTCGGATGGGAATCATGGAGATGAGGAGGCGTAAGACTTCCCAAAGGAGTGTTCTGGTCTTGCCTTAAACTGCTTGTTGCCACCCTATTTCCGAGCCTTGCTCAAGCCAGTCACCTACCCACTACTCGTGGGGCGCTGAAAGCTAGCCGGACTCCTGAGGAGCCGGTCCCCTCCAGTGTTGGTGGTGATGACAACAGCCATCTCCTTCTAACTGGTCTTCCCCATCTCTCTGTCTCTCCGCGCAGAACGTCTTGCTGCAGATGGGGTTGCACGTCCTGGCCGTGAATGGGCTCCTCATCCGCCACGCCCGGAGCTACATCCTGCGCTGCCATGGCTGCTTCAAGTACGTGTTTGGCGGGGGAGCCTGTCTGCACCACAGTGGGGGTGGGCATTGGTGAAGTCAGCCGCGACACAGGCTCTCTCGTGATACATTTAATGGGGTCCTGAATTGATGATGGTGAGCCAATTCTTTGGCTTAGGTTCATGAAGCATCCCTTTTCATTTTGTTTAATAAGCCTAGCGCCAGCATGCTCGCGAAGGATTGGACTCCACGATGCTCTGACTGTCCGTCAAACCATTTGTTCCACAGTCCTGTCCAATATGGTACTGGCCAGACGTGCATTGTGACTGATCTCTTTTCTGAAGTAACTGTTTTCGAAGGAATGGGAATATTTCCGCAGGAAAGTTGTAGAATGGGGAAATCGATTCAGGCCCAGGTTTGGTTCCAGGGCGGTTCCATTGGAGGGCGGTGCCTTTGAGGGGCCATCATCCCTGCCTGGGGGTGTCGGGGCACAGACCCACCTCCTCCTCTCCTCACCCCCAGGACGACGTCGGAAATGACTCGCCTCTTCTGCCCCCACTGTGGGAACAAGACGCTGAAGAAGGTGGCAGTGACTGTGGGTGACGACGGCAGCCTCCACATGCATTTTTCCCAGAACCCAAAGGTTCTGAACCCTCGTGGGCTGCGGGTGAGCATCTCCGACCCTTAAGCCTCCTGCTTTCTCTTTTGCCCTGTTTTTTTTTTTTTCTTGCCCTGACTTCTTGACTGCTGCTAAAGCCGCCAGCGTCCACGCTGGGTTTCCTTCTGTCTGATGGGGAGGAGGCGCTCAGCCCCCGGGGCCTTGCTTCAGGGGCAGGAAAGACAGGTTTTGTTAATAAGGAAGGGAGGGTTGAGAGATCTCCAAGGCCTTTTTTAAAAAAATATGAATCATGATGCCATGAAGCTAAAAGGATTTGCTCTGGTTCTTCATAACATGGCCCCATTCGTTTGTGTGTGTGTGTGTGTGCACGCAGGTACATGCGAGTGCATAGGAATCCTGTTGATTGAGAGGCAAGACATGTATGTGAAACTTGAACCACAATCTAATCGTCACGTCATAATAGGCTCAAGTTACAGATTCCGGCTGAATATTTTTAAAAAACACCTTTTTTAACTGTTAGAGCGGTACCATAAGGGAACCCATGACCTCAGGAGGGTTAAATTGCCTGGGATGCTGCTCTGTGGTCCTTGAGGAACAAGCATGGAGCATGGGTGGTCAGGGAGAAGGAAGGGGAAGGAGACCAAGCCCTGTTCTTCTTCGGAGCGTGTGCTTGCATGATGGTCCATCTGTCTTACCTCTCTTTCTCTCTCTTTTTTTCCTGCAGTATCCTCTCCCTGCCCCTCAAGGTGGGAAGCATGCTAAAAATCCCCACTTAGCAGAGGATCAGCGCTTTCCCCAGCAGCGCCTCTCCCGCAAAGCACGGCAGAAGACCGACGTCTTCGACCCCGACTACATTGCAGGCGTGTCCCCCTTTGTGGAGAACGACATCTACAGCCGGGCGGCTCATCTCCAGATCCGGGACACGGCCACGGGTGCAGGCAGGAGGCGTCTGAACCCCAACACAGCCACGAAAAAGTTTGTGAAGAAGAGGTGAAGGGGGAGGGGTAGCCTCCGTCGCCCACCCGCCTGCCTGTTCTGGGTGCTGGCGGTGCTTGACCCACCACGTCTGATGCGAAGCGAGAACTCAGACCGGGCTGAGGGTGGACAGAAGGACTGATTTGCCTGAGAGAAGGGATCCGCAGGGGCTGGGGAGTTCAACATCTCCAGAAGACTGAAGGCAGGTGCTTCCTGGAAAGCCCACCTGCCTGGGGCTATTGTTTTCAAGAAGAGACTGAGCTGCCGAGATGCTCTTAATAAACCAGGATTTTTCTGCACGTTTTGTCTTGTTGGTTAAAGAGGGGAAACCAGTTCTCTCTCACCTTGAACACACATGTTCTTGCCTGAGGGTTGGGCCCCGTTAATAGGAGAAAGGGGAGAGTGCTGGGCCAGACCAGCGACCTCCGGCTTGGGCTGGGAAATCTCCTTGCCTGTTTCACTGCTTCAAAGCCTGCCCCCCCCCCCAAGTAGAATTTGCTCGGAGGAGAGGAGGAGCCCTTCCATGCCTTTTGACCGGCTCCTGCTTTGACATGACCAGTTCTGATCATTGGCTTTTCTCCCCGTGAGCCCCAATCCAGGTAAAGGGAGGGAGAAGGACTGGCCTCCGC